AGCGTTGTCAGGTAATGCATTTATCTTCATGGGAAAGGCAGCCATTCCAAAGCAAGAATCTCAGATGTTGTCACATCAGCTAGGACAAGAAGTCATAGAACAGGAAGGCTATCAATGAAGGGGATATGGTGATATCTAGACTACAATTAGGAGGAGCTGTGAATGGGTACTCCAGCTCCAAGCTCATGGGAGCTTTGACATTTTTCTTGTGTGTTTCGATTACCGGCCAAGTAATTAGTGAAGCCCTTATCAGTCATCTACGACCCTTCTTGGGGCTCAAGACTCTGACCTTCCTTTCATTCAGAAAGCCTTATGGTCAAAGCAATTCTGCTGTTTTTCTCAAATGCTAAGTAAGGAAGAAAAAAATAAAATAAGAAAAATAAAGAACATCTTTTTCCATTTCTTCCTGGAAGAAATTTGTTCATTTGTTCATTCATTCAACAAATATTTATCCTATAGTCCAGGCACCAAGCTAGGAGTGCTCTGGTCACTGAGTTAGAGATGCTGCCTGACTCATGAAAGTTAGAATCTAATTAGGACAGGCAGACACGAAGCAGGCACTATAATCAGGCACAAAACAGGCATGAAGAAGGTCATGGAGTGGGGCTTGAGCAGTGCGGAGGAGGGAAATAGGCTCAATCTGCAGAGGCAATGGAGGACTTCGTGGAGGAAGTGGCATCTGGCTAACACTTAAAAAGATGACTGTGAACTGGTCAGCCAGACAGGCAGGGAAATAGGAGAAAATAATATGTACCAATCTATAAGAAGACACAAAGTGTGTGTGGAAGATGAAGTTTGTAGGGTTGAAGTGCACAGCAGGAGCGGTTGGGAATGTGAACAAAACTGGAGGGGGAAAAAGACAAATATTACCAGATGGTTCTGAGGAATAAGGGAAGTGGGCATGTTTACATGCGCTGCAAACCCATTTACTGTGGTTTCCCATAGGTACATAAAGGAAAGACCAAACAGAAAATGATAAACCTAGATATCCTAAGATAATCATGTAATGATTTTTTTGTATCTGAATAATAATTATTAAAATTATATTGTACATGCCAGTGAATTACTTGAACATCAGAGAGAATATCCTTATTTTTAAGATATTGTGCCTTACATTGCTTCCAACCCCAAAACATAAAAACATCATTATTTTAAAGAGCCAGAGCTTTAAATTCAGTCATCAGAAAATTTGTTTTCTTTTACTCTCAATAGTCTGTTTGTATATTACTCTAATCTGGCTATTACTAATAACACCCAACTTGGGAGTTAGAGAGAACTGGTTTAACTCTGACCACGCAACTTGCTGTGTGACCTTAAACAAACTATTAACCTCTCTGAGCCTCTGTTTCCTTTAAAGAAACTCACTTTATTGGGTTGCTATGTACATCTGATAAGACAATGGTTGAGTCCGCACTACTATTTCCATTTTATTGCGATTCAGAGAGATTATGTGACTTGTGCCAGGCCAGGCAGCCAGCAGAGCAGCCCTCAGACTTCACAGCAAGCCCCTGAACTCGTTCTGCATCTGGATCTCTTTTCTATTGGGGTTTTCCTAGTGGTGATTTTCAGTGGTAAATATAATTAAATTTCAACTAACATGCCCTTTTTTTTTTTTTTTTTTTTTTTTTAAGATGGGGTTTCACCAAGATGGCCAGGCTGGTCTTGAACTCATGACCTCAGGGGATCCACCCACCTCGGCCTCCCAAAGTGCTAGGATTACAGGCGTGAGCCACCGCGCCCAGCCAACATGCCCTTTCTTCTTACTGTAGAAATGATAGAAGTTATTGAATTTAAAAAAAAAAAAGAGTGGAAAAAAATAATAACCATAACAAAAATAGCACTGGATGAACACTGTATATCGGTAAAATATATGGTATGTGAATTATATCTCAACAATACCGTTACAAATTTTGAAAAGTAAAATAGCAGCAGATGAGGAATAATACAACATTTCAAATGATACAATTTTGAGAAAGTTTGATATTGTTTCATCTTTTGACCGGTAAAACAGGGGTGCTATTACCTGCATTTCCTTTGCCAAAGAATTAAGATAAACTGAATCCTAAGTGGTAAAGTGTGCTGTGATACACGTACAACTCCACTACATTATGGTAACACTAAAAATAACCTGAGAATGAAAGAGCTTTATTTCTTCATTTCCAATGACCCATGAGCCTCCTAAAATGTACAGGGAAAGAAATCCACCCCCACTGCAAGCACCTGTTCATGAGGTCATCTCTTCTCAAAATACCTAAGTCACTGAAATGTCAATGGCAGGAAGTTTTGGAACTTACAGATTACACGAGCCCATTTCTCTGAAGCACAGTTACATCATCATCAAGAGAAGCCATTTCCAAATCCACAGCTTCCTAATCCATTAGCACAACAAGCTGGTGGAGAGCTTGGCTTTCCCAGTCATATGGGCCAAAGAATCAAAATAAACACAAATGTGGCCAGAGTAACTCAAGTCGAAAGAATCCCAAGTAAGCCCCAGTCTACTCATGTTCAAAGGCACGCACGCTACACCAGATTCCAAAACAGAACTCTTCTGAATTTCCTTCCCATTTTATGAAGGAAATGAAAAATGAATTGTTACCTGTTTTCTCTTTTAGTAGGAACACCATTTCTGCTTTCAAAATTCCTAATTTACTGGTTTCACAGCCGTAAAACATCAATGCTAAGGGCTTTATACAAGCAAAAACAAACATGATTTTCCACTGTATGTAAAAGACAGAGGTCGGTTTTGCCCCAGTTCCTACATGTGGTAAGCTTAAAATCAAGCCATTTAGCTCACAATCAGGTTCAATAAATCAGTGGAAAAAATGGGAGAGCATGCCAAAATGTAACCATGGTAACACCACAGATGCGTCAAGAAATGGTGTGCTCATTTGCTTCATCCCCATTTCTTAAATTGGAATCTAAGTAGGGGAAAAATTACATAGAGAACAATCATGATTCTGCAATTACTGATTTCTGCAAAGTTGTATTGAACCTGCTATACTATAACTTCAGAGGCACCTATGGGGCAGCTACAAAAACAGCCCTGGATTACTTAAGAGTTAAAAAGACCAGATCTGCCACTTACTGGTTACTGAACCTCCTGTGACTTTGTTTCTTCATCTGTAAAATGGGTATTAAAGACCCCCAGCTTCAAAGGGTTACCATAGAAGGAAAGTGCTTCAGTGTGGAAGAGGCAGGGCAATGGTGAACTCAGGAGACCCAAAGCCCTGATCATCTTTGGACTTGACTTTATTGGCTTACAGCATTGTCTCAGTTTCTTGATTAATAAAAATAGAAGGCAGGGCGCGGTGGCTCAAGCCTGTAATCCCAGCACTTTGGGAGGCCGAGGCGGGTGGATCACGAGGTCAAGAGATCGAGACCATCCTGGTCAA